AATATTCAATTAGACTCGGTCAAGGGTTGTTAATGGATCAGGACATTCCTAAACTTTGTAATTAAGAAACAAAGTGCCTGACTGTAAAGGCTTTGAATCTAAAAGCATTTACTAGTACTGAATACACATTGCTAAAAGTTAAATTACTATATTTATGATTCCAATGGTGAAAGAAAACTGTTCTAATCTAAAGAACTGATCTTACCCTCCAGTGTTGAGGTTCAGCATCGGCGTCCAAATGGTTCTCAGAAATGGCAAGAACACAGGAAGCACTGAAGCATTAATTTAGATGTGGTCAAAACTTAACTGTAAGCTTGCATGCATAGTAAAAGCTCATTAACATGCTCTTTCCTCTTACAGGATGCATGTGATCTTAGCTGCAGCAAGAAAGGCGCTTCACTTGAAACTTCTGCTAAGTTAGCTATTAGTAAAACTCTGATGTTTTCTTTTATTTTTCATGTGTAATATTCAAGTTGTTTGTGATGTGTTACATAGAGATCACCAGCTGTTTCAGCATGCCGGACTTTATCCAGTTCCTCCTCTTCTCCTGCTACTGTATGAAGCAGTAATGATCACTGGTGTGTTTATCAGTGCTGATCTCAGTACAGTGTCACCCAGCTGATAGAATAAACATCATCAGTTCATCTGAAGAACAGAGTGAGATCCACAGAAACTTTTCAACTTATCTGTTTAGTCACCATGACAGCTTCAGTTAGAACTGAATTTACAACAGAAGGTATTACAGAATAACAGTTCTTAAGTTCATAATCTTATCAATTAAAAAAAAAAGTATTACACAAACATCCTAACTAGATTAAATCTCCTATATACTGTCCTAACTTTAAGACAACACCAGATGTGTCTTAACCTTAACTGTCTGTTTCTATCATTTTATGTGGTGACAGGCAGCATAGTTCACTATAACTAGCATACTGATGCTACATTTGTCTACACTGAAAATGGTGCTTAACTTTTGAGGTTTTTTGCTAACAGCATTTTGAAAATCCTAGACACTGTAGATACAATCTTCACCCCTCTTATTACCTTTGTGTGTTAATGTTGATAAACTCATCAGATAAAAGATTACAGTGATGGTGGTGAATATTGAGGAGACAGTGATGAATGTGTGGCTGTTTATTAGGTGGAACATTTGTTAGCACCATCAGCTAAAGCATTCAGGGAAACTGCACAATAAACAGCATGAAGTGCTCACATAATATTTATAATTTCAGTTTATTACACTTTAGTTTTTAACACTTGCTGTAACTTTCCTGTCTGCCTCTACCGTCCTTCTTCCTGCTGGTTTAGTACATTATGTACTACACTGATATTTTAGTTTGTTTTTGTTTGTTTGTTTGTTTGTCTTGAACTTAGTGACCATTACAAATGACTATGGAGCTTACCAATCATGATATCTAAACATATTTCATACTATGGTTACATACAATTAGTTAAATCCTTAATCATGCTAGTCATAGAAAAAAACAAAAAAAACAAAAAAACAAAAAAAAACTATGAACTACTTAGACAAAAGAATTAAATTGTTAAAAGACAATTTTGAAGTTATAAGTACCGGTATAGCTACCATTTCTAAACAATGCCTAAATGAACGGTTACATAATAAATCTGAGTAAAATAAGTGAGTACATTATCATCAACATTTCTGCAGATATGTTGGCAGAAACTCTATGATTAAAGTATACATTGTCACACAAGCTACAAGCTTTATAACCCTACTTCTAATAAAACTACAAGAAGACTTATATACTATATAAGTCTTATATACTAATAAAAAGAAGTGTAGAGAATTTAGTATTAATTACACTTTGGCAGGGATTAATTGATTCCTGCCTGACAATGCAACATGTTAACATTTTACAGAGGTGAAAGCAGGGCTCTCACGAGCCTAATCTCTGCATAGACCCAAGATTTACAAGACTGAAAGAATGCACTTAAGAGTATCTGGCCACACCAAGGGTGGTGAGATGTATGTGTGTGAGACCGAGTGAAAGGAATCCTTGTGCTCAAACTTTGTGTCTGTTATGGACAATCTATGCCTAGCACAGAAGTCAAATAACAATTCACCATTCGAGTTTAGATCGTGCAGGCTGTTCTTCCCAATCACCCACCTCCAGGTCTCCCAGTCATTTACAACATGAGCATTAAATTCTCCCAGCATGACTATGAAGTCTGTAGGCAGAGCCCTTTTTTAGAACCCCACCCACTCACTCTAAGAAATCCAAATACTCTGAACTGTTGTTTGATGCATAAGCACACACAGTCAGAATTTTCCTCCCTGCAATTTTAATTTGTTTTGGAGTTCGTCCAACGGGACAAATTCTAACTGCACAGCAGCCAGCCGGGGACTAGTGAGTGTTCCCACACTAGTAGTAGGAAAGGGACCAACCCCTATCAAGGAGTTTTGTTCCAGAGCCGACAGTGTGGGTGGAGCTGAGCCCAACTAAATCTAGTTGGTACTGCTCATACACCCACATAAGTTCCAACTCCTTCCCCCCAGTGAGGTTATGTTCCATGTACCAAGAGCCAGTTCCCGCCGCAGGGGTCTGTGCCACCAGGGATCTCCCTGAAATTTCCCACAGCCTATACTATCATCCACTCAAATCATAATGTTCAGGCAATTCACTGGCAGGTTTTGTTTAGGTGTGAAGAAAATGTACTTATACATCCTTATCACACGTGAAGTATCCTAGGTTTAGATTTTAGAGGTGCTTTTTTTCTATTTAGACCAAGAGTCGAAACTAGTGGGTGATGGAAGGAATCATCTTGTTTTTCCACTGTTCATTCGTTAGCTACTGCCGTAAGCTTCATAGAACAAATTCTCAGAGGTTTTATTTTGAAATTTCACAGATAGCATAATTACTTTTATGTAAAGTTAGTTGTTAGTTTTCCATAATCATAATTAAACACATAATTGAATCTGTAGTGATCACTTTTTATAACATGGGTATTTATTATTATTATTATTATTATTATTATTATTATTATTATTATTATTATTATTATTACTCTCTCAGCTTCACGTCTACACATAAGAACACAATCACAAATGTCAGAGTACAACGAAACACAAATTTCTAAAATGCATCAGGAAAATGCTTTGATGAACACCAGCAAAGATCAATACAAGAAATCCCTGAAGACGTTACAAATAAAAAAGAGGGTAAATTTAGAAAACAATCAATAAACTAAATAAAATTGCTATAATACTGAAATCAGTTAAGAAAAATCCAAAACAAAATATTAAATATCTAAAAATATAAAAGTATTTGAAACTGTATTAAATACTTGCCCATACAAATAAATATTTTCTTTGAGTCCTGTTCTTCTTCTTGATGAACACCAGGGGGAACCTTTGAACTAGTTCATTGTTTGCTCAATAGTTTCAGTTTGGCATTTTTCACCAAATAGGGTGAAAAATGATAAGTGGTTGGATTGAGCGGGAATGTTTTTGAAATGTTTTTATGTCACAGATAAATCAAGAAACATCAACAAGTAAACCACATTGACTGACTAAATGTGCTTGTAAATAGTCATGTTTCATAAGTTACAGATGCCAAACAGTGTAATTTTAGCTTGTAACACATTTTACAAGTACACAATATTTTAAGTACATTTCATTATATTGAGCTAGGTCCATCAAGTCCATTCTTAACAGTTTATAACCTGGACTTAAGCACATGCTAGAAAAATATATTATTATTATTATTATTATTATTATTATTATTATTATTATTATTATTATTAATTGTTAAGCTGTAAGCACAGTGGTCAACTAATCATTGTAAAGTTTGTCAGGCTTATTTTAGGCTACAATGCCAGTCAATCCCACTACGAATGAGCCTCTCAACATAGCTGTGTCATAGAGTCATTTAAAATCATGTTTCAGTAGACTGGTGTGGACAAAATCATTATACCTGCACACTTATCTACTCTGGAGCATCTGACCCTACAACAGATATTAAATCCACAGTAAATCACACCCCACACAGTCTTTCACAGGAAATTAAATAAAAATTGATGTTATTCTGTTCCACTTTAGCATGGGGTACATAACAATGCCCTTGTACCGCACTTATCAAGCCTTATCAAGCCATTAGCTGCTAATTAGTTGGCTATTCAGTAGTACTTTGTAAAGCTATTTGAAGCCCTTAAATGCCCAGGACCCACCTGCAGTTTGTATTACAGGCCATGTAATTACTGAATAATAAAGCTTAGGACATAATAAGCCTGAAATATTAAGGTATAACCCCTTAAATGGGCAGGGCCCACTGCTGGGCCCAAAGTTGTATTAGACACTTCTATAACCCAAGAGTAGCTGAGTAGTGAATGTAGCTGAGATGTGTAGTAAAGCCTCTACAAAACCTGTATGTAGAGCTGGCGCGGTTTGAGCTCAAGCTCAAAATAAGGTCAGGCTTTTACAGCAGCACCACAGGCCAGCAAGAGTAACCAAACCTTAAACTAATAAGGGTGAGATAAAGCAGGTTTAGTTCAGATTATTAAAGAGAGTGTATAAGATTGACATGGTAATAAACAACCTTTTAACCTTTCAGCATTTATGAATGGCCTCCCTGTACTAGCATTAGCTTTGCTAAATTTAGAGAATTAGCTCTGGTTTTCTGCTTTGGGACAAGACAAAACTGATGTAGCTCACTAAATCATTGATAGTATTATGACGTTCTGAGATGCAGTAGATTCCATTAATATACATTGACAGATTTATATGAAAACATTCAGAATTAAAAGATATGACATCCTGTTAGCATTTAACAGTTAAAAAAAAAAATGCTTGCTATGCTAGCTTTTATAATTAAAAGCTTACAGAGAGTGTTGTGTGTGTGTGTGTGTGTGTGTTTTTTTTTGTTTTTTTTTTTAATGACAAAGCACATTCACTTTGCTGTAGAAATTGTACTCTGACTGTGGTTAGTTTGATGCCTTTGCTCATGAGGTGGGACCCCATGCACACAGAACAGTAAGACCTCCCACATCTAAGCATCACATGAGTAAACATCGCTACTGAGATGTTCTCACTAGTTTAGACACTTCAGTCTTTTGTCTTTATTTGGATGTTCAGAAAGAGGCTTGTCCTGATATGGTGAGTTTAATACATGTTGCCTTTATAACAAATTGAATTTAACTAAATTAGTACATGATATTGATATTAGTCACATTCTTTACGTAATTGAAACCTGTGCGAAGACACATTTTACACTTATGCATGTATCGCATTTAGTTTATTCAATACAGATCTGGGACAGAATCTCTGAAAAGCTTCTTTTGTGACAGTCTGTTGAAAAACTGCTATTCAAATAAATTTTTATTGAATAGTAATAAATAAACTGATCTGCTGTATCTGATGAGAGTTGGAAATCCTTACAGCTACATTCAGTGGTTTCACAGGGTCAGTCTTACAAATGCAGTGATTATGAGCCAGTAAAGAGAAACTAATAAAAATGATGATTATGATTCCAGTGCTGTTTTTTCGTTGTGCAGATTTGTTTAATGATGTCACTAAGAATGGCTCTTCTATGCCTCTCTCTGATCTCTCTGTCTGTGATTCTGGGTGAGTCTGAACTATTTAACTAGACTTTTTTGGGGGGACAAACATCTCAAAACGATGTTCTAGCACTTCTACATTATGTAATGTACTAATGAAGTTTCTCTGAAATAGTCTTCAATGTTCACACTTAATGAGGCTCATTTTCCGTTGGTTTGCTGAGCCCCCCACATCCTCTCACCCACCATGTGACTGCAAAACACAAGCTTTATGTGCTTTGTGGTTTTTGCACAAAATTAGGTCAGCTTTTCACTGTAGTGGCTTGCAAGAAGAGACGAATCTGTGAGCTACACTAGCAAAAATAACAGTGAATTGCAATATAATCTTCAAATTTGAACCTGTAATTTTTCACACATCCATTTCTTTTAAAGATTTTAATGACCCACATTTTGACCGGATCTATTAGGAAGTTCTTCTTTGAATGTGCTCTGAAGAAACCTTTTAGGAACTTGTAGTTTTAAGAATGCACAGTAACTCTGACTGTCTTATGGGCTCCAGACTCTGTAATCAGCTCTTTCATGCATCATATGTTTCAGGAGCTTTTGGAACAGAGTGGAGTGTGAAGTACAACCAACAGGAAATATGTGCTTTAAAAGGATCCACAGTGTTTATGAATGGAACTTATTCTCACCCAGAACGTCTTACAGTGACAGAGACTTTTTGGGTCATAGATCCAGTTCAGGGTGTGGAGAAACCTGATCTGAGTAAAGACCCAAATTATTCAGGCAGAGTTGAGTATTTAACTGATGAACAGAAACACTTCTCCCTCAAACTGAGTGATGTAATGAAGAAGGATGAACATAAGTATTACTTTAGAGTCATAACAGGTGTAGAAAAAGAAAGATGGCTGGGTAAACCTGGAGTTCAGCTCAGAGTTACAGGTAAGATTAAGTTATAATGCTGCATTTAAGTGGTGTCAGAAACTGGAAAATATATATTTTCCCACTTGTAAATTGTGTTTTGAATGACCAACAAAGTTGACCAAATCATATTTACAACTGGTCAACAGGGAATTCTAGATGATACATGAGTTTGAGTTTATCAACTTTTACACAAGTGTAAAATGCTATATTGGCAGTGAATGTGAACAAATATATCCCTCATTTGCTTCCATTAGATCGTTGTGCTTATAATACAGCAAATAAACAGAACTGTCTTCTTTGGACATCCATGTTTCTTTATTCGTGTGATTGCCATATCCCAAACAGAGTAAACTCATGTTTACTAGGTAACCATTTGGCATTTACAGCCTTCCAATTAACACAGTCCATTTACTTATTTAATGAGTGCTTTAGAATTCCATGTTGCATCATGACTGTAATTTTATTAAGCTGCTGTGTTGTGTGCAGCATAGATGTTTAGATGTTTATCTGCTGTAGTGCATTTAACTCAGTTAGTCTACTGATTTTAAAGGCTTCCTTGATGTTATGCCTGTCACAGTGTTAACCTGTATTTGGCTTAAGTTTCTCAGTACTGTAATAATACGCCATTGGAAATAATTGATGTAATAACAATACATGCAACCACAGTGTAACTACATGTGATGTATTTGCGGTTAAAGGTAGACAGTAGTTGAACTTATGTTAATATAAATGTGTAGCAACTTTAGTATTTGGTCACAGTTCCACACATGTTATTACAATTACAATTGTGATAGTTGTAACAGCACATTTTGTTATGTAATTACTCATGTGTAACAGGCTGAACTGCTATTTATCTTTTTTTTTGCTTGTAACAGGAAGTGTGTAATTGCATACATTGAGAGTTCTTACCCTGTTTCTGCTGTAGTAGTGGGCGTTACTTGTAATCTAACCACTGCTGTGGCTTTAGACCATTTTGTAATGATGGTAATTACACTTTCAAGATTTCTGTCATGTAAGTTTGGTATTAATCTATTTCATTTTGTCAAGATAGCATGATACAATAAAAATATTCAATAGTTGTTAATGTTTACTTTAAAATGAGTGGACAGTTTCTGTGTAGTTGTTATGTAGGTAAAGTGTAATAACAGATTGGTGATCCACACATAACTTTTGAGGTACTATAAGACAACACATGTATTATAATGTAGGTAATTCCACACCTTCGGTTGCAATCAGAAAAGACATAAAAAACAGCTATCATTTCAGTGTAATTACCTGAAACCTGATTATACATGTGTAATTACATAATAGATAATAATGCTTTTATAATTATCAAGACAGACTTGTGTATTACATTAAAATTTATATACGTTTTCATAAGACTACATTACTGTAATGCATCTATTAAAATTAAAATATTGCCAGTAGATACACTGTTGTAGCTGCATCTTGTTATTCCTAATTTGATATTTATCACATTGTCTTAGAGCTCCATGTGGAAACTCCTGGAGAAGTGACAGAGGGAGAAACAGCAGATCTGACATGTAAAACCACCTGCAGTCTGACTGACCCAACATTCATCTGGTACAAAAATGGACGTCCTTTAACCACAAAGACCATCAAGAACAACCAGCTCCACCTGCAGACAGTCAGCAGTGAGGATGCAGGCAGTTATAGCTGTGCTGTAAGAGGATATCACCATCACTCTACTGCTCAGAACCTCAGAGTCAGATGTGAGTTTTAATATTATAATAATAATAATAATAATAATAATAATAACAATAATAACTTATTGGTATTGTTGTTGTGTTGTTGTTGTTGTTGTTGTTGTTGATAATAATAATAATAATAATAATAATAATAATAATAATAATTAATATATATTTATTATTTATTTATTTATTTATTTATTTATTTATTTTTTTGTTATTTATTTATTTTTTTCCCCAAAGTAAATCAATGCAAGGTTTAGGAGCTTAAAATGTCCCCTGGCTTTCATGGTTAGGTTATCTTTTGTCATATTAAAACTGCAATACTTGCATCACTCAAGCATGATATTAGACTATGTAAGAAATGTTTCAATGTAAATAAAAAGTACAATTATTTAATTATGTCTAGATCCCCCAAAAAACGTCTCAGTGTCCAGCAGTCCCTCTGGTGAAATAGTGGAGGGCAGTTCAGTGACTCTGACCTGCAGCAGTGATGGATACCCACCTGTGAAGATCTACACCTGGTTTAAGGGATCAACATCAGTAGGAGAAGGAAAAACCTACAGCATTCCCAACATCAGATCTGAGGACAGTGGAGAATACACATGCCAGAGTCGTAATGATCATGGAGAGAGAAACTCCACTGCTGTGTATTTAAATGTTCTCTGTAAGTTATTGATGATTTATTAGGCTCTATTTCATTTTTTAGGCTCTGCAACATTTTTTTTCTCATAGATTTTTCCCTTTTTGCTTGTCTACTTTAGATCCTCCAAAGAGCGTCTCAGTGTCCATCAGTCCCTCTGGTGAAACAGTGGAGGTCAGTTCAGTGACTCTGACCTGCAGCAGTAATGCAAACCCACCTGTGAAGATCTACACCTGGTTTAAAGAAGGTGGGACCTCACCTGTTGGATCTGGACACAGTTACCATCCTCTACAGAGTGGATCTTACTACTGCAAGGCTCAGAATGAAATTGGAGCTCAGAATGCAGCAGCTGTGTCAGTGGTAGTAAAAGGTAATAATAGAACAATTATGGTAAAGATGCAAACTTATTAACAAATGAAATCTTGTACACATCACTGTGGTACAGTAATCCTACCTGCAATCTACTATCTGTCTTTTATATAATTAATCACGTCACTTTTTGTGACATTATCATTCCTTTCCATGCAGGGTTTTCATATGCTGTTATTTATGCAGTTGCTGGAGTTGGATGTGGAGCGTTTCTCCTTGGTGTCATCTGCTTCTTTTTCATATGGTATTCAAATACTAACTCCTGAGGCATAGTTTATTTTCACATGTACACTCCCATTGAAAAAAGGGGACTAAGCCCAAAAAGGCAAATCATTAAGGTAAACTTGTAGACAGCCTCGTACAGAAAGAAGAGTCAACACTGCCAAGCTAGTTTGTGTTTAATATGAGACCAAATATCCCCTATAGAGTTTAAATATGGACTCTAAACAGGCCACAACCACGAGTAAAACCATTGTGTGTTGGGATTGGCCCTTTTTTTACTACTTCAAGTACTGAGACTCTTCTAGTGCTGTTGAAAAGGCAATTTCTGAAGTAAAATAAAGGATCTTCTAGTAATAATGACATGCTCTCTTTTGACTCCAGGAATAAAAGAAGAGTTAGAAAGAAAGAAGACCTCTTAGTGGTAAGTGAAGCTTTAAATACTAAAAAAAGCCCACTCATGGAATGAATAGTGTCTTTCCTCTTTCCATCCTCTAGATGGCAGTGCTATGTCTACATCTTCATTTGGTTTAGACCTTTAAAAAATACTTCAGTATTTTTCAACCTACTGTCAGAGACTACCCCCACAATGACAGGTTAAGGGCACAAATAAAACCTTTTGCCTTTTGATCTTAATGTGAATGGTCAGTGTGGAAGTCGTTGTTTTTCCACTGTGCATGACAACATGAGACAGCAGCACTGAACTGAAATAACTCCTGGCAATAGCTGCAAAAATGATTGATCGTACCTCTAAAAATGAAATGAGCTCTTCAGAGCAAATTATAAAATATGCTGTCAACTAGCAACATATATCTATGTAATTAAATGAGTAAATACTGAATTTGATACACATGTGTATTTGCATACGCTGTACTACTGCAGTTCATCTGTAAAAGTGAACACATCAGCAGTAGTTGCATTGTTATTACATGTATTATTAATGTATCTACAAATATTAGAGAAAATATGAAGTAGGAAATACAAAATCTATCACACATTCACCCATTATCACCATTGAACTCATCCACCATCTTATTGTTTCAGGTAGAGTTTGAAGTTTTTTACAAAGTCTTCTTTTCTCATATTACAGAATACAGTTTATTCAGAGATTTGGGCCAGATCTGCAACCAGTGATGCAGCGCTGAACAGATCAGTCTCTCAGGAAGTCATTTATGCCAATGTTTCACCCAGTCAACCTGAAGAAAACAGCAAAGCTGAGAGTTCTCCAGTAAAAACATCTGTCTGCACGGCTGCTGTGGAGGTGAGGGTAAAAGAAGAGTCTCAGGAAGATGATGTTCAGTATTCCAGTGTCAAATTCCATCATTGCTCTCCGCCCAACAGGTGAGATACATGTGCATGATCAGCATAAATCTTTCACACTCAATCCAGTTGCATTGAATAGATGCTTAGTTTAACATTAGTTACAGACAGACTGAGCATCTACATTGGACTATAAACACAAACATAAAACAACATTTTTAATTCTTTTGTCCTCCTTCAGTTTAAATGTTGCATTTGATTGGCTCAGATAAAGAGCAATGGAAGCTAAACTGTGCAGACTATTTTTAAACCTTTTTTTTCTTCTTTTTCTGCAGATATAAAGGTGAATCAGTAGACAATCCTTCAGCGATCTACAGCAGTGTAAAAAGAAAAGTCCTGAACTCATAATCTTCACTTCACCTGTCCTTCACCCCAACTCTCAACTCTTCTAGATGACAGACTTATTTTCCCCAAGTATTGATTTTTTTTTTATTATTTTTTTTTAATAAAACATGTCAGCACTAGTGATTTTACTGTTTCAGACTGTCCCAGCCAAATAAACTGTTTACCTACTTAATGCAATGTAAAGACAGCCAGCTTTACCAGTTTGCTCTGTTTTAATGAATACCAAATATCTTGTGCTGAAATTATTGTGAAAATTGTAAGTTAAGCAAAATAAATTTTGACATAGTTTGAAATTCCTTTTAATTTAGTTTCTGGGTAACTAGTAACCACTAGTAGATTTTCTGAGCAGATTAGATGCTTTCATAAGAAGGGAAAAGTAAAACGAGTGGAAAAAAAAATCAACACTTGAGCTCAAAAAATGAAAGAAGACAAAATGGGACTGCTAATAATAATGCAAGACCTGGTAGACTGCCAAAACTTCCTTATCAGACAAACAGCACTTAAAGCTTTCATCTTTGAGATGATCAAGCTCTACTCTTACCTCAAAGCTGGAAAAAAAAATAATCCACAAGTGGTTTTGTCCAAAGTGAGAAGATTATTTTTCTTGTAGCTGTCAAAAGAATATTTGCAGATCAAACAAAAAAGCTGCTGTTGGCCATTCTAGAGTTCAGACCTCAACATCACTGAATGTGTTTGGGATTACTCAGATAATGAGAAGCAGAAAATGCAAAACCAACTACTAAGACTGAACTTTTGTTGGTGTGTAAAAATATTCCTGCAGGTGTTTTTTTATTTTTTTAATTATTTTCTTTTTTTTTTAAGAACTGAATCAGTTTCTCTTGAAAAGAGGAACTGAACAATGTTGTATCATATTCAGTTGTTAAGGATTGTATGTAATTGTTACATATGTACTCTGCTTTTCTTGATGCTGAAAAAATAAACAACTTGTTCTTAATGTCTGTGGAAATTAAATAAGTAACTGGAAATTGAATAAATGAAAGGTGCTCTCTGACTTTTGCACAGTTCTGTATGTGATCTTTGTATTTCTACTGATTAATGTATATATTCTGCTCTGCAGGGAATTTGGTTGTAGCATTAAAGATGTTCTCATAGTCTGTCTCAGTGTCTTCAGCTGCTGAAGGATGATTTTGGGAGACCGAACTCTGCTTTCCAAATGAATTTCCATCACAGTCAGATACATCAAACTGTAAAAGATCAAATGAAAATGTATTGTTTAAATGCTCCTTTCAAACCTAATGATACCATACATTTAAATGTAATAAGATTTTTGTTTTAGCTGATTTTGCTTGCCGATGTGTTGCCCCCCCACTCACCTCTCTTCTTCTTGAGCAGCACTGGGACTCTGAGATGGGATGAGCACAAGCTGTACAGCAGAAAACAAGTCAATGAAAATGAGTGAGTGATATAGATAAACTACATGGCCAAAAGTATGTGGACAACAGATATGTGGTCTAACTATATTTCAGATACAGTCGTTGCTAACAGGTGCATAAAATTAAAGACTCAAAGAATTTCTCAAGACAAATACTGGCAGTAGAATTGATTGAGTCCAGGGACTTTCAATCTGTCACTGTCACAATATGCTGCTTTTCTAACATATCAGTTCAGGCTGTTATTATGAAGTGTCTAGGAGCAACAACAGCTGCGTGGCACAGCACTGGGCCACACAAGCTCACAAACCACATGTGGAAAGAACATCTGCAAAATAATTCCATCCAGCAAAAAACTTCTCTCTCTACATGAATCTCTTTTCATGAAGTATATATGTCACCTTCATCTAAGAAGGATCCTCAAATTTTTCATAGTCTAGGACCACCAATATCTTAATCCAGCTCTGACTGAGTTGTCACACACAAGGCTCATATCACTATGAAATATGTCAGACATCAGCTGGAGATGTGGAAAGCTTACCACCAGTAGACTTTGGAGCAATGGAAGCATGTTCCATGGAGTGATACATTACATTTCACTATTTGTTCGTCTGATGGACAAATCTGGGTTTGGTGGATACCAGAACAATGCTACGTACTGGAATGCACAGTTCTAACAGTAAAGCTTGGTGGTGGAAGGATAATGGGCTGGGGTTGTTTTTCAAAGTTTGGACAGGACCTTTAAGTTCCAGTGATGGGAACTCTTCATGCAACAATAGACAAAACGTTCTAAAGAATTGTGTTGTTTTTTTTAGTTTTGTGATGAGTTTGGGGAAGACCCTTTCTTGTTTCTGTATGATGATGCCCCCATGCCCAAGGAGATCTCCACAATAAAATGGTTTGGCCTGCACAGACTTCACTCCCAACAAACACTTTTGGGGTGAACGTGAACATCAGTGTCCGACCTCACCAAGAGGCAGATTTACTAAGCTTTTGTGTCTTTGTAGTTTACTAAATAGGCACGCTGGCCTTTTAGTGCCCATAGCAAGATAAAAGCATGTTCACCTCATTTGCGTATGTATTGATAAGAGTTTCCCTCTGAAAGCCCAAAATACTGGAGGAGATTATTACAGTGAACCACCAAACAGTAAAAGCTGACTGTGCACTGTTTTCCACTTATAAATCAGCTGCACATTAATGCCCATGATTTTGGAATGAAGTTCAACAACCACATATGGATGTGATGTTTGGGTGTCTACATACTTTTGGTCATGTGGTATAAATCACAATTGACATGCACACATAAAAAATGTAATTATTGCACAAAAAGAAACTGCATGAAATGAAGGGTAACAACTTACTCGTGTAATACAAGGCTAAAAACACCAGAATCCCAACCACAGATGTCAATAATAAGACACATACAGAGACAATGAGGTAAATCTGCCAGTCTGACGAAACAAATAAAAACAAGAATAAATTGAATTAACATCTTGTAACTTTTAAGATTCTGCCTTACAATATATTTAATGTTTTATTTAGAGCAGCAGGTACAGTATATGTGGTCATGTTCTCTACAGGCATGTTGCACAGCCCCCCTCTGACTTTCAGCTAGCTGAGCCACAACTTCCTGAAGTAAAACCACAATAGAGCTGCCACTGAGTCAGTCGAGTGTCAGTCAGCCACACTTGTTCTCTGCACTCTGCAACTATGGTGACAGAAGCTAAAGTTGCTCATGTACACTAATGTTTGCTATCATTGGGAACCTACACTGCTAGAAAGTTATAGAAAACTGAAATATTCTCACCTGTTGTTTTGACATTATTAGATTGAGCTGATGCTGCTGGAGCTGAAATAGAAACTATAAGAGCAGAGCGGTCACTCAGGAGGAGAGTACATTGCTCATATAACTATATCTGAAATATATAACAGGTTTGTAGGTGTTTGTACACGTACCTGCAGCAAACGTGGCATTAGATGTTGAAATGTTTCCTAGAGAAGTAACTGTTGTTGGAAGTTGAGTGCTTGAGCTCGGTGGTGGAGAGGTCTGCGGAGCTGTGTGAGTGTGTGAGAAAGAGAGAGAGAGAGAGAGAGAGAGAGAGAGAGAGAGAGCAGGAAAGGAAGTAAACAGAAGGCCTCCATGTGTTCATTTATGGCCTCAGTAGTTTCCGTTTTACAGCCAAAGTTGCAGCATGTCATAGATTTTTATCCAGATTATCTCTGTGATGTTAAAATCCTACCTTCAAGGACTGTAAGGATCACTTCATTATATGTATCACTAAGAACTCTGTCCACTCCACACCAGTATTTCCCAGCATCTTCCTTATTCAGTTGAGCGATTTCCACAGTGAAGACTCCCGTCCCAGAATCCGTCAACTGATATCTACCAGAAGATTTCTTGATGGAGTCTATTAGAATATCCTGATCTGTTTTACATGGGTCTTTGCAGAAGTACTTCCTGTTACTGCCAGCCCAATTATGAGAGCATGTTATCGTGACTGAGCCGCTTTCATGTCCAATAATTTCTTCCCCAGATGTTTTGTACCTTAGTACTGTCAAATGGGTAACAATGCACAAAGTCAAAATGTATATTTTCCCTATGTTGTGCATAAAAAGCTGAAGTTCTATTAAAAAAAGTACAACTTACCCGAGAGAACAACACAAATAAACAGCTGAAGAACCTTCATTGCTACTGGAAATGATCAGACTTTCTTTCCGGAAGCTCATCACACCTCACAGCTACAGTCAAGTTCAGCAGTTTGAGGTTGTGAAGTAAAGACATTTGAAGATAAACATCACTAGGTTAAACGTGAAGAACTCATTACATGTGGTTTATTGAGGAGGGGAAGACTGCACTGTGTGAATTAGTGTGAACTCAAGCATGAACTTAAGTGTGAGCTCAAACGTTGTTGTTTCAAGGTCTTCATTCATCAAGTAAACCTCAACACCCACATAAACACCCAGACTCAGGCCATCTCAGAAACCTGTGAAAGGAGCTGCCTGACCAAGCATGATGTAAAAAAGTGGATGTTACTATGCACCAGTCAGCATAAAGCAAAAGTGACTGTTCACTTTGTGGCATGTTAAAAATAAATACAGATAAAGTTCCTCGTTCTTTACAGGTGGACTGATCGTATATGCATTCCATCTCAAAAATACAGCCACACATAAGATCTTTAATAATAACAGCATCTACAGTTGATAGGCTAGCTGAGTTTCATTGACATTTATGCACCTAATGAAAATGCTTTAAAGAATAGTGGTGCTTTCAAAATTGTTTAATTTGGTTCTCTTTATCTACTATTAGGACTTGTGTGAAAATCTGATGAAGGTTTAGGTCAAATTCATTCAGAAATACAGAAAACTCTAAAGGGGTCATATACTTTAAAGCACAACTGAAGCTGATATCAACACTTAAGCCCCCTTTTACAACAGATGCAGTGACTGCTTTGCATTACGGCCATTTTTAGCTGCATTTATAAGGACTTTTTGATATCTGTTAAGAAAATGGATTGATTCATGTTACTGACATGTTGTTGGTGTGTTTGTGGGTGAAGATTGGTGTGAGAGGAAGATGTATGCAAACAGGGTTTGTGGAACCCATAGCGTAAATTTCGGTACCTGTTGTCCATTAATTTATCACTCTTGTTGAAGTAAACAGCATGAGTTTTGTATGGATGCCAAAGTGTCCCTGTGAACATAATTTCCTCTTTATAAAATGCAGGCTGATTAGATGCTTTCATGAACTTTGGTTGATCATTGTTGCAATGTCAAAAGTGCACATCATATAAATATTTACAGAACATGTTATTGCACTTCTTACAACTTTTACAGGTTGTTCTTACAATCTTTAAAGTTTACTGCACACTGAAAATTGCTGTGTGAAGATCAGACACAACAGCGGAAAACAAAGGATTCACTATTACTAACAAAACTGCCTGAAAGAGTGCACATTTTCACTGTAGGTAATTGTAGTTAAACAACTCACTCCATGTAAAGCTGATGATGCCCTCTGCTGGAGATAATCAATTACCATAATGAATTGAATGAAATGAAGTAATTTTTCTTCAGTGGTAAGAACTCAGTCGACAACAAACAAGTTTAAAAAAAAAAATGGTGAAATGTTTACAGATGTTTTGTGATGTTTTAATTGTAAACTGCATTTACTACAGTGAAGTGCTTCAGCTCACATGCTACAGCCTTTATCATATGCTTATTTAATATTTTAAACATCAACTCATTATAGTCTATTTCAACATAATCCAGTTAAACATATTTTTTTTTGTTCAGTCCAGAACACAAGCACAAAACAGACAATTGTGCACTAATCTATCTTTCAAATCATGTAGAAATTAAGCTCTAATTTTGTCACACACTATATAAAATAGTCAACAGACAAATTTTTAACTCATGCAATGGAACATTCTGCTACATAACACAATTGTATGAATTTTAGTTCAGACACATTTGCTTCAGTATATAAGAAGCTTCATAGGATATGGTAACTAAAATGTTGTACTCAACAAACAAAAGCAAACATACATACATACATCATCTAAACCGCTTATCCTTCTGGGTCACGTTGGGGTGCTGGAGCCTATCCCAGCTGTCATTGGGCGGAAGGCAGGATACACCCTGGACAGGTCGCCAGTCCATCGCAGGGCAGACAGACAGACAGAACCCAGGCCATTCTTGCTGTGAGGCGACAGCGCTACCCACTGCGCCACCGTGCCGCCCAAAAACAAACATATAACATACAAATATATTTCTAGAGAAAAATAAGCTACTATAATTAAAAATTAAAGATAGACACATTTTAAGTGTGATTTTCTTTACGTTGTCATTTCCTGCCATTTTTCCACATATAAACAGCCATCAATAATTTTTTGTAAGGCATCACTCATTTTAGCCAGCTTATCTAGCTGGCAGTCATACAATGAAGTTTCATTAATTTGAACTTTACAATCAAAAATAATAGAACATGATGACATGTTCAGGTGGGTATCATCAAATAAACTTGAAAAAACAAGAAAACAAATTAATATTACACTAGCTGTGTCACAAAGCTAACCAATATTTAATCCTAATTTTAATCAGGGTTATTAATACTGTCATATTCATACTAACCCTATTACTTATGTGTAATTACATAAGATAGTAATTAATATGTTGTTACAATATGCTGTTACAACTATAATGACACACTTTATCACAAGAATTCAAACTGAATTTGATAGATGTGTATTTACAAAAGCTGTACTCCTGTAATCCAGCTGTCACAGTGAATACATCACCAATTGTTACATATATTGTTAAGGTTTAATGGCACGCTTATTAGACATATAATATATTCCATTTTATATATGTTACATTATAACAATTATCAGTTTCTCATATATATATATATAATATATATATATATATATATATATTTCAGGCAGGTCTTCTCATGCATTCAGTAGGAAATGATTTTTGTAGCCCCAAAGCAGAACTTTCTTGAAATATTGCACATCATACATTGTGTGAGTGAAACACTAACAAGCAAAGAAACATTTGGCAAAAACATTTAAACTCGTCTTCATCAGTTACTGATGGTTTGTTTTCACAGTTGGTTTGAAGTCTAATAGAAAACATATGAACAAACTGAGAAACTAATAGCATACATTACCCAAAGCAAATGCCAGAACATCCATGATTTATTATTTTGTAAATTATACCGAAATTATGTATTCTATATTATAACTAACATGGTTGTAACTAGCATGAGGACATTAAGGTTTTATTTCACATAATCATGAGTGATAGTAGTTTGGAGGAATGGAAGGATTGGAAATGAACAAATGAAAGAGAGATATAAATAAAAGTTGAGACTGGTAAAATAGGAGGCAATGAATTAGTGAAAACCAATTAGGAATTGGCACTGATGAAATAGATAGATAGAATGAATAGTTTATTCTTTCTATTTTCTTGAAGGTAAGAAATTATTACATAACTGACCTGTGACATTGAGACTCACTCCAGGAAAACCGAGAAATCTGATTTTTAGTATGTTTGTTGTGATTCTAAGGCAGTACATGTGCTCATCCCTCTCTGTTACGTTCCTCAGTTTGAGGGAGAAAAGTTGCTTTTCATCTTCATAGTATTCAGTCCTGCCTGAATATCCTGGATCTTTAGTCAGGTCAGCTGGTACCACATTTTTGGATGGATTTCTGGTCCAAAACTTCTCTACCATTTTAAGATCAGATGGATATTCATAAGTGCCATGCATAATCACTGAGGATCCTTTTAAAGCACACATTTGAGTTTGGCTGTATTTCACACTCCAGTCTTTACCAAGAGCTCCTGAAACATATGATGAGTATAAGAACTCATTACAGGTATGTAAAGAAGAACTTATCAAGTACAAAAAAAGAAAAGAAAAATGCATACCCTGGCTATTGACACAATAATAATAATAATAATAATAATAATAATAATAATAATAATAATAATAATAATAATAATCTAAAGAAGAAGAAAAAAGATAATATGAAACAGCACATACCCATCCAAAACAGTCAGGTTTTGAGATTTAATATGAGTGACATCTGCAAAAAAAAACAAAAATAATAAAAATAAATAAATGAAATAATCAATAAATAAATCTAGAATGCTTTCTATTCATGAAAAAAAAGAAAAATGAAGACAATACAAATTCGTTGAAAGAAATTACAATTTGAAAATGAACACACAGAGTTATAAGTCCAAAAACTGATGCACTGTGATGTTGCTTAACATTTTTAATAGTGGGCAGTTAAATTTGCAGTGTTGTGTGGATGTGCTAAAATCAGGCTGATCAATCAGAGCTCAGAGCTCATCAAGGTTGTAGTCCAAGCCACCTTAAACCAACAGCCACAGACACACACACACACACACACACACACACACACACACACGCACACACACAGCAACTTCCTTTTTTTAAATAAAAAAAAATAATAATAATACAGTGAAGATACGAAAACCAATATACAGATTGGGGGCCAGTCGTGGGCTGGAGGTTAGGGAACCAGCCTTATAACCGGGAGGTCACCGGCTTGATCCCCTGAGCCCCTGAGCAAGACACCTAACCCCCAACTGCTCCCCGGGTGCTGCGGAAAGTGCTGCCCACCACCCTGGGCATGTGTGCTCACTGACCCCGAGTGTGTGTATGTGTTCACTAGTGTGTAAGTGGGTGTTTCACTGCATGGATGCGGAGGTGAAATTTGCCTTTTACATGAAGTCTGAGACAAACAAACTGCAACATTTGAATTTTTAGTCAGGGCACTGTCAATGTCCTGTGTTTTTTTTGTATTTATTTATTGTACTGTATTTTCTGCACTATGTTTATTGTATTGTCTTGCACTTGTGTTCCTGTGTTGATCCTGGAGGAATGTTTTGTTTCACTGTGTACTTGAATAGAGCTGAAATGACAAAGCCTGATTTGACTTGACTTAACTTGACTTGACTTATACAGATGCACTAAAACCAGACTGACCAAGCTGTTATAGTGGCAGTCCAAATCACCTTCAATAAACACTGCTCCAGGTCAGTGGGCTCCTTGTAGCTTCTTTTCTTCTTCGTAAGGAGAAGAGCTTGATGGAAAAGATTGAATAAAGCATTGGCTGACTAGAGAGCTTGGAGCCCTCCTAAAAAGGTAATATAGGGAAGCAGACTATGGACTGTATAAAGGGGGGAGAGCTTCT